GGTCTCGAACTCTCAACAATCCTCCTGCTCCAACCTCCCAAGTGCTGGAATTACAGGTGTGTGCCACCACGCCTGGCAGCCCTTTACTTTTTAAAATAGTATCATGACATATGTAATTATATTTGAAGAATATATGGTTTTGCTTTACTTGTTTTTAAATTTTTGAGGGGAGTGGTTTTGAGACAGGGTCTCACTATGTAATTCAGGCTAGCTTTGAATGCACTATGTAGCCCAGGCTGACCTTGAACTCAAAGCGATCCTCCTGCCTCAGCCTTCCGAGTGCTGGGATTATATGCAGGCACCACCATGCCTGGCTACTTACCTTTTAATTTTGTAAAAATGCTATTTTTTTAATGGTGCTAAGACTCAAACCTAGGGATTTGCACATGCTAGGAAGTGCTCCACCACTGACCTACATTCCAACCCCTAATCTTGTAAAAATGTTGTTTTTCTGGGCATGTTGGTGCACGCCTGTGATCCCAGCACATGGAAGGCTGAGGCAAGAGGCCATGAGATTGAGGCCAGCCTGGGTTATGTAGCAAGACCTTGTCTAAAAAGCAAACAACAAACAAAATTAAAATGTTATTTTTATGTAGTTTTCTGTAACTTCCTTTTTTTCACTTAACTTGATTTCTCTGACTTAGACACGCTGTTGCATTATAGCTGTAGCTAATTCATTTTCACTTCTTTATACTATTTCACAGTGTCACTATGCCACAATTTACCTATTCTCCTGCCCAGTGGAAATATGGGTTATTTCCACCAATGTTACACTGAATCTTTTATACTGAACATGTCTCCTGATGAGATCTATGGCACCCAAATATTTACCTTTATAATATACTGAAATTTCTATTTTAAAAAATAATATCGCCAAGCAAGTTAGCACATGCCTATAATCCCAGTACTCGGGAGGCTGAGGCAGGACAATTGCCATGAGTTCAAGGCCACCCTGGACTACATAGTGAGTTCAAGGCCAGCTGGAACTACACAGTAAGACCCTGGAGAAGTGTAATTATCTATTCATCTTTGCATGATTTATAACATTTTTTCAATACAGAAATACAAAGAAAGAAATTAAAATTAGCTTATGCCTTGCCCAGATAACTTCAAATGAGTTTTTCTTTTCTTTTAAGGAAAACTTACCTAAGGCTAGACAACCGAAACAAATGGAAATATACAAAGCAAAGACAAAAACCCACAGCACCACCTCAGCTACAACCCCTCTCTCCAGTCTAGCTAACATAGCTTCCCCCACCAGCCATGCTTCACCTCAAATCCAGGTTGGACAGGCCAGCTAAGTGCTTTTACCACTGAACTATTTCCCCGGCCCAAATATAGCCATTCTTAACCATTATTTCCTTCTAGGAAATAATTAAGCATACATTTGCATATCTATGTGGGGAAATTGTTGTTTGTTTAAAAGCACAAACCCTGGTTGTCAGGATTTTTTTGGTTTTGGAGTATCAGGAATTGAACTCAGAGCCTTGTGTGTTAAGCAAGTGCTGTACCACTGGGCTACATCCCCAGCCCTTTTAATTGTATTTTGAGAAAGACATTAATGCTCCCGGTACCGGAGAAAAACCAAAAAAAAAAACAAAAAAAAGGGGCTGGGGATTTAGCTCAGCGGCAAAAGCGCCTGCCTGGCAAGCGCAAGGTCGTGAGTTCGGTTCC